GCCATAAACATGAACGATTTCTATTTTCCTCAAGCCTTCTTGGTTATAATAATATTTCCACTACAAATAAAAGTATTTGCATCGTAAATGTCTTGTTTTTGCATAATTTATTAAAAGAACTTCATCAAACATGTTTCTGCTTATGATTAAAAAAATATTCTTTTTTGGCAATTATTACAATGAATATATAATAGAACATTCATCATCTGTGACAATAAGATGATTGACCGAAATTTCTGAGATTCGAATAATCAATTTTCCTGAATACTTTGTTTAGTCTACATTCTGGTGCTACTCGGTTATTAATATAAAATCCAAATTACAAAATGCATAAGTCAATGTCAATTTCGAACGCTCATTTATGATTTCAGTTAGTGTCATAACACATTAAATGTGTATTATCATGAGAATAACAAATAGACAGAAAAACACTCTGAACTTCTTACTGAACGTTTTCAGCAATTCCTTTCTCAATTTATCCTACAAATATCAATAAACACCGCGATCAAGAATTTATTTCTAGTAAGTAATAATTATGTCAATTTTCTATGTTACATGATGAAAGTCGAGAATAAAATGAACAAAACTTTAATTTAGAACGATATCTCGGTTCCCCAATAAAATGGTTAACTTTCAAACAGAAACTGTTCATCTCAATAAATGGCACATCAAAACAGGTGAACTATACAAAAGAGCTGACGAAGGGAAAAACCGTAGTACAGTAATATAAAAGAAATTAATTGTTTTGAACATACACATCTTTCCTGATAATACTTCCGCTTTACATTTTTTTGGCGTATGTTGGTCTCATATCCTCCAATTCATTTTACGTTTTAACTGGAATATAAACTTCGACCTTCTATTCAATGAGCATCAAGATTCCATAGCTTGAAAGATACAGAAATCGTGATTTCGACATTAACTAGGTATAGAATCTGTAAAATTCTATCAAAGCCCGGCTCCATTATCTGCCGGACGTTATCTGAATTGATTTTTTCCGCCACGACGGCCACAAAGTTAACATTTCAAATCGGACTTTGCGCCTACGCCGTAACGGGAAATAAAGTCCTGACCACAGGAGGTAAAATAAAGGACCCTTACCCACAGGCTTATCACCCTCGCCTTTGGCCCGGGTGGTAATTTTCTACTTGGGCACGACTCCTTTATTTTCCTTCCCTAGGTAGGGAATATACTATTTTTTTCAATTTTGACGTGGATACGTCTATGGTTTCAATATGGGGGGTCATTTTAGGAAACGGTCCGAAGGCTAGAAAATTCTAGAGGTTTCGAGGTAATTCACAAAGTTCCTTGAAATTTCGAAAAAAATTCATGGAGTTTCTAGAAAATTCGACAAAGAAGGAAAGACCATGGACGTATCTACGTACAATTACAGCTGTATCGAAGATACAGCCGCCTGAAATTTTCATCTCGAAATTTCAATTCGATGCCCCGTCACCAGGGTTGGACACGTAAAATACCATCGGTATTTTATCAAATTTTCTACATGTAAAAAAACCAGTTATTTAACATGGAAGTTTAGACCTTTTTGACCGCGTGTGTGCGTGATTCAGAACAACACAGTTATTCAACGAGTTATTGGCGAGAGAACAACCCTGTTGACAGGATTGCAAGGGTCATGCCTCACAGGGGTCAAACATCGCAATGGTCATACCTTACCAGGATCACGTATCGCAGGGGTTATACCTCGTGAGGGTCAAACGTTGTCATGATTAAACAACAGAGGTAGGCAGAGGACAATCTCAAAGGTCGAACGACAACAAGTGACAAACGGGGAGGTATAGAAAAGACAATCACAGCGGTCCAATGATTATGAAGGTCAAACAAAAGGAGCAAGAAGGAAAATGGTCAAGGGTCTATCGGAAGACATGATCCTCGCGAAGTATAACTCTTGCGACTTCTGAACCTTGCAACGTTGGCCCCTTGTAAGGAATGACCGTTGCGACGTTTGACCCTCGCGAGGCAGGATCCTTGCGAGATATGACCTGTGCCACATTTGACCCCTGCGAGGCATAATCTTTGCGAGACATGACACTCATGACGATTGACCCTCACAAGGTATAATCCCTCGTGAACTTCAGTCACGAGGATTACTGCAGTGATAGTCGGGTTAAGGGGTTTTCTACCAGTTATTCATCTTTTTTTACCATTTAGAGGTAAATAACCAGTATTTTACTATGTACCGCAGAAAATTCCGATTTTCGGTGAACGATCCAACCCTGCCCTTCATTCAGGGACACCCAAAAATTTTGAAGTTAGATTGAAAAAAAAGTAAAAAAATTCTGAACGTTTTAAAAAATCATTTTTAATTCATATTGAGCAATGATTTCAATAAGGGAGATATGAGTAATGCATACTTACCGTGGCAGATGGCGATCTGTCAGTCGCCACTATGAAAGAAAGACGAAATAATAAATCTTTGGCACACCGCAACAAGACGATACAAAAAAGGCCCTTTGACAAAATTTGTAATATTTTTAAGAATTTTTGTATCACACTTTTACGATGAATTGCTAGTCAATTACGGCAATCTTCTCCATTAATACTTATACTGGCGATTAGCTGCCACTTTTGTCGGGAATTAAAAACAGGAAAATCGCTTTCTTTCTTTTTTGGTGTCCCCGACAAAAGTGACAGTTGATGGACAGTACAATTTTCAATTGAGGAGATTGGTGTAAGTGGTTAGTAGTTCATCGTAAGTGTGATAAAAAAATTCTTTAAAAAATAACAAAATTTTTGAAAGGGCTTCTTTTTGAATAATCATTCGGCTGCCCTGTGCCAAAGGAGTTATGATTTCGTCGTTCCTTACCCCATGGTGGCGACTGATAGCCCGCCATTTGCCACCGTAATTATACATTATTCATATCGCCTCTATTGAACCAATTTCTTATTATTAATTAAAAACGCTTGTTCGAAATGTTCAGAATTTTTCTGACTTTTTCGTCAATTTAAATTCATAAATTTCAAGGGTCACTTAGTGACGGGGCATTAAGTTAAAATTTCGAGATTAAAATCGAATTAAAAATCATCTAGATAACATTCGACAGATAATGGAGCCGGGGGTTTACCTCAAAAGTCTTAGAACTCATGATTTTAAACTTTACTTCGTTATCTGGATGGAGACGTGCATCAAGAGACATATATTTATATGTCTAGATATTTTCGAAATATTTTACACCAACGCACGTCATTTTCTTCAATCTTCACGCATGTCGTATTCTTTCAATCTTCTCCTGTCCTATGTTTCTTAACGTACTTGGAAAATTCGACAAAATATACTCATTCCGCAACAAAACGTTCATAGACAATAGTTTCTCAATTGAAAGATTGGAAATGTTTATAAACAAATAAAATTAATTTTTCGATGACAAGAGACAAAAAAAAGGTGAGGGGAAAAAAGCAAAGACGAAAAAATAACTTCTTTCAGTATGTACTCAAATCCAATATTGTTTCTAACCCTCACTTATTTCTATTCAGGAGAGTATGGGGGAAAATTACCTATTTCTTCCACGAAACTAACGAAGTGAATGAGAAAGAAATGGAGACCGTTCGATAACCACCCACAAACACTTTCAGAATAACAGAAGCATTTAAACTATCTCACGAGGTTCACGCGAATCATTGATTTGAATGAATTCATTTGATCTGACGATCATATACGTAATGATACACAGGAAACTCTGTTCCATTCGTCATATTTTCAGCGGAGAATTTTATTTTCGACTAACACATTGTAATTACAAACAGCCTTTGGTTACATAAAGGATAAAAAAAACCTAACATCATAATTGATATATATCTATTATGTTCTATATAAATCTAGCATAAGTCTTTAGTAATTGGCATTTTCTTGGCTTATCGCCCGACGGCATTACAATTCCACAATCATCTCAATTTTTCAGGGAAATGTATTAGCATCTAGGGGTTCATTCATTCTTAAGAATTATGAATTATCGTTCAGATTTATCCATTCAACTTGAACAAGAATTACTGTGGCGGCGATGATACACTGGGAAAAAAAATTATTTTTGCCAAGGAATCATTTTCTTGGGAGAAGAATTTATTTTTTTAGGAGCTTATTTCTCTAGGCTAGTCATTCCCAGGTGGGCCATGTCCATCTCCAAATATTACAATTATGTTGAATAATGAGATGATTATACTAGATATGACCTTGAATGAACACGCTTCATTATTTTTCAATTGTTTCAAATTCGAGGTTTTCTAACGTATAATAATTTGAAATAATTTTAAAGGTTAATAATTGTCAATGGAGTTCATTCAAGGTCATATGTAATGTAATCATTCCATAATTGAACATAATTGTAATATTTCGAGATGGACTTGGACTCCTTAATAATGACTGGCCTGGAGAAATACGCTCCGCAAAAAATAAATTCTTCTCCCAAGAAAATGATTCCTTGGCAAAAGTAATTTTTTTTCTCAGTGTAGTCCCAATTCACCAGGGACATCAAAACAATCGTTGTTATGAATATAAGGGAAACTGGAAAAAGCAAACTGTGTTCGATTCTACATACCTCAGAAACTGTCGTAAAATTATTAACATTCAGAAAATTTATAAAATGCCTATTCCTTGCTCTAATGTAAGATGAGATTTGTTCCATTTCCTTCGTTAGTTTCGGCGATATTGGAGTAAACTCGTTTCACTTCATTTGGCACCAATTCCATGGCCCAAACAACTACTTAAGGTACTTCCGCAGTAAGTATACTTGGTGAAAATTTCGAAATGGTATAAAGACGCAATATTTGGATCATATGTTGTTGACCACATTAAAAATATATTCCCAAAATTTCAAGTCCCTGGTCCACCCCATTTTTGAGATATGCATCGCCAAACATTCAATTTTTGTGTTTTTTCCATTTTTGACGATGTATATCTCGAAAATGGGGTGGAGAAGGTACTTGAAATTTTAGGTATAGTTTTTGAATGTGCTCAACAACATATGATCCAAATATTGCGTCTTTATACCATTTCGAAATTTTCACCAAGTATACTTACTGCGGAAGCTCCTCAATTAAATTATCCGATCCCATCTTGGATAATCTTAATTTCTCTATAATGTTTTTCTTTTACTGAAGGTAATGAACATTTAAGCGTGATTGGAATGTGCACCACCCATTCGCTGTTGCATCATACTCAATAGCATATCCGAATATTGTTGCATCATGTTAACGACTCTACCTTGATCTTGACCGGTCAATAATTCCTGAAAGGTTTCAGTTGCTTCGCTTGTTGGCAGTTGTGCTTCAATCTGGTTATCTTTGTTACTCGCTTCAGCGGCAACTAGGCGCAATGTCCTCATTGCTTCGTTGACTGACGACTCTAAACCACGTAACATCGTGTCTCTATCAATAATTTCGCCTGACGAGTTTCCGGCATGATCCATCGTTAATCTTTTGTAGAGTTGAACAACATTGTCAGCAGTACGAGTTAATTCGTCTGCTATTGTATTACAGAGGTATGGCGATACTGAAAGAATTTCAGTTGGTTAACAACATCCATGAATAACAATTGCATTTTTCTATAAATGAGTACAGTTATTACTACTAATAAATTAGCAATATGCTTCCGAATGAGTTCTCTTTTTTAAATTCTTAGTTCACTATTCCCTTCTTCTATTTTTTCGTGTCATAGCATTATCATCAATTGAAATATTATCAAAATTTTGTGTATTATTTCAGTCTGACCAATAATTCTACATTCAGACGATTTCAAAACTCGAATCCGTTTTCATTCCGGGTTTAAATAAGGTTCAATCAAGGTTTAATCAGTGTATCCACGTAGGAAAACATTCTATAGGATTTCCTATACGATATTCTAGAAGATTTTCCATAAGATTTTCTCGGAAATGTAGAGTCATGAGGTTCAGAATGATGGTCATAAGAATCATTTGGGGATCATGTAAGGATCAAATGACCTTCATATGACCCTCACATGACTCCAATTTAACCCCTATATAAACCCATATGACCCCCATATTACCCTTAAACGACTCTAATATGACCCTTTATGACCCATACATGACCGCCACATGATCTCCATTTTTAACCCTCATTGTGACCCTTATTCTCCTAAATTTTGTAGGATATCCTGTTGCAAATCTCATAGGAAATCCTACATGAAATCCTAGAGGACATCCTATAAGAAATACAATAGGAAAAACCTGATAAGAAATCCTACAGGCAATCCTATCTGGAAAATCCTATAGGATTTTTTCATACGTGTCACCGTAATTTAATCACGGATTATTCACGATTTAGATCTTATTAATGCTTGAGATGTTATTTTTTTTATTTTTAACGTGATTTGCCGCAAGGAGTTTGCGACTGGCCATCGCCCGAAGGCCTGCAGCGTTTGAGATCTTATTAATGTCTATATTCATGAAAAAAATCAAGAAATTCTATTGGTCATTTTTAAGAATATTTCGAAAAAAAATGAAGAAATACCCTCGGAAAGACCACACGCATACCAGTACCAGCACCATCTAAAAATCGCATATTCTGACTGTTACACTATAGTTAGTTACCCTAACAGAAACAATCAGAAACTTAAATTTGAACGATTACAAAACATCCATTCGGAAGCAAAAATATATTGTAACCCTCTTTTATGAAAGTCGGCCTAACGCACTATTTGTGCAGTGGAGTGGGGACGGCCAATTCCTACGACCAATGCCTGAAGTGGTGAAAACGTTCATCACAAAAGAAGGTAATGCAAGAATGAAATCAGACTAATAATATTTGTCGATTATTTATGGATAGATTGGTGAATTTTGAAAGTCTTTCGTTCGTCAGGAAATCTATGGAACTACTTTCGATACATAATGGAACATCTTTAAAAATGAGAAAAATGATACACTAATGGAGTTATCTCCGCATTTGAACGAGAAAGAGAATTTTTTATGATTTTATCTTCACAATCGTTCTTGAAGCACAATTTTCATTTCATTTATCTATTCTTAGAATGTTCGATATATTACAACAGTAGATTGTGCACCAAGGGAGGAAAACAGGACATTCTAATCCGAGGCGAAGCCTCGTGCCCCCTTCCTTCGACCGCGCACCCGTCTGAGCGATCTTTTCTTCCTGTCCGTTGGGCCGTTGTGATCGCTCTACACGGCGCTACCATCAGCGCATCTCCGTCTTTGCTATCACTCAACTCATCTCTCCCGGTTGATCCTTATAATCATTTCTCTCATCTCCACTATCTCCACTTCACTCCTCGCCATCATTCCACTCGTGTCTCCTGGTGGACGCTTGTGATAACTTCACTTCTCTCCGGTTTGACCCTTGTGACGTTGTGACCACTCCATTCGGCCTCACCATTTGACCTTCATGATCGTGACAATCTAGTATATTGATTCAAGTGTCGCTCGATAGTTATTTTAATTAACCGAAGACTTTTAAATTTCACGTAGATTCCGCCTTAAAAACGATTGCTCTGATTCCATCTTTTTACTTAGAGACAAACGGCGTATCGTGGCAAGTAACTCCATCAGTAAATAATTTTTTTTCACGAATCGGGTGAAGAATTACAAAAGCGGGGTGTTTCAACCAGTGACAAAGCACGGACACCTAAATTCATCTAGCGAAACAAATGATTTGATATGTTTATAGTTGTATAATCTCATAACTTTTGTAGATATTCTTACTTGAATTAATAAATGAAAATTTTTTATCCATATGTATGAATGATTTTTCGTAAAAAAAATGCGCGATCTACCCCCTCTTTTTGGAAACCTCGGGCCCCGGCCATAAAAATTAGACAAGAACAGAGACTCACTGATGCCCCCAAAAATGAAGACTGGAACACCAAACGAGCGATCGGAGTCGTTCCAACCACCATAAACATGAACGATTCCTGTCTTCCTCAATCTTCACGTGTTGAGTAACTACAGCATCAGAACGACATTCGGATGACTACAGTGGTCTCAATTTTTATGGCTAGCCTCGATGCCACGAGTGTACTATTCTTTGTGTCTTCCCGTGTCCTCGAGGATATGTTCAAATATCGTAATGACTTGGACGACACAGGGAAGATTCGGAACGACAAATTGTTCGACTCGGGTTCTAAAATATGTGGTTAAACGCTTTCTTAACCGAGTTATAATAAGGCTCCAGAACTGAGGGTCAAAAATAAGTTTTAGACATAAGGATCATATTCCCCAAGGATCCTGATCTAAACAGGAATATTCATTCGAAAGCAAACTGCTAATTTATTTCCACAAATGAGTACACCAAGTTAAGAAAAAAGAGCAATTGCTCACTTGTTTGACATGTACCATCCGGTATTAAGAGTTGGCAAATATTTCTAGATCGATGAGACTTTCGAAGTCTCATTAATGAAAATACAATCTAGCCTCATACATATTTAATGATAAGCCATTAAATAATTCTGTCCATGCATTGTCGACGAGATACATTTATGAAGACTTTCTTACGAGAGTACGCACAATATTCAAAGACTTACTGATAAAAACGAGTATTTATTAATGCTTCAATTGCTTGGAATCATTAAATCGTCATGCATTCACGAGCATGATTACATGCAACTTTCATTGAATACATTTTGAAATATTAACAGAATATAGAATTACTATTTATGCATTCTGAAAAGGATGTTTACCTAGTTTTCTATCAGTGTCCACTGCAACAGCAAACATGATTTTTAGTGGTGCGGTTATGAATAATTATCAGTTGAGGAGAATACAAAATTTCTGCTCCCGTTCTTAATTAATAAGCTTTGTTCCAAATGTTACTACTCACATTCAGCACTAGCAACGTCGATGGTATGATCAGTATCTTTGACAGGAAGTTCTTGTGGACTGGGATCCAATTGCTTTCGACTACAGAGCCTTGGGCCACCTTGAGCGATTGAACTCATTGATTTGCCATTTGCTATCGCCGTATTTGACCCAGATCGCCGGATCGTCGGAATAAGATTCAAACTATCAATTAAGATTGGAATTTAAAAAATTGGAATAATTATCGATTCGCAATAAATTATTTAGCTTCGCGAGAGCTTACTCAAGTAAAAAGGACAAGAAAGAATGATTTGGCATTATGGTGGAGAAAAACCTAGTTCCGTGTGAAATTTTCGAAACAATTTTTGCAAAAATCTTCCTTTTTTTTAAGAAAGAGCATGACAAAATGGATCACATTCCGCCGTTTAGGAGTAGCAGAACTAATGAAACAACGCTCATAAATTATTCAGCATACATTGTTTTTGACTTTTCCCCGATGTATTAAAAAATTCTAGAGGCAATCTTAATGTATTGGCATTCCATTTGAAAGGAAATTCTGTCAGTTATTTTTTGCCGATTTTCTATTCAAAAGTGCGCGGTTTCGCTGCACGTTTTCCGAAAACAGAAAAAGAAAATATCTGCTAGGTCAAACACAGGCCATACATTCCTGGACATAAATTTTTCGATGTCTTTCCACTATTCCAAAATCTCAGGGAAAATCAGGAAAAATCGATACATTAAATTTATAGCGGAAAATTTCTATAAAACAATCACCATGTATTGCTCTTAGTCCATTGACTTTTATTTATTTTATATTTATTCATTTAGTTGGTTTTAGTTGGTCCATTTTTCCTGGCCGAAAACGAGTAAAAAAATCTATTAGGTGTATGACTTCATTCTCGGCCCTTAAATTAAGTTGATTAGAATACCTATTTGAATTAAAAAAATTTCCCGCAATAAAGGGCGTTTGAAGCGCCATCTGTAAGCTATCCAACCACTCAAGTCCGATTGTAGTCCAATTGACACAACCTCAAAAAACACAGTAAATAAAAATGTCGTTCGAGCAGCAGCACTTGAGGCACTCCCTTCTTTTCACCTTCCAACTAGGAAAAACTACTGTATCTTATAGCACATGTAAAAAGTGGTTTAAAAATTTCGGGATAGAAATTTTGATCTCCAGGATGAAGAACGTCCTGGGCACCCAAAAAAGTTGAGGACGAGGAGTTGAACAGCCTCAATAAAAATCCCTGTCAAACACAACAGGAGTTTGCTGATACTCTCGGAGTGACTCAATCAGCTATTCCGAGGCGTTTAAAAAGAATTGGAAGGATACAGAAGGAAGGTTGTTGGGTGCCCCATCATCCTACCTTAGAAAACAAAAGTCGACGTTGTGAAATTGCCATGTGCCTACTGACCAGATTCAAACAAAAAGACTTTTTACATAAAATTGTGACTGGAGATGAAAAGTGGATATTTTACGACAATCCGAAGAGGCGAAAGTCGTGGGTTTATCCGGGGAAGCCGTCAATGAGTACTGCAAAACCGAACAATCACGTGAAAAAATTGTTGTTGTGTATTTAGAGGGATTCCAAAGGTGTAATCTATTATGAGATACTCGAACAGAGGGAAACCGTCACTGCTAGGCTTTATCAGGACCAACTGGTGAAATTGATTGATGCGATTGAGGAAACGAGACCTTTTACTGGTAGTGGTACGAGGCAAGGAATTTTGCTGCAGGACAACGCGCGGCCACATACAGCAAAAGAAACACTGAAAGTTATCTTCACGTTGGGCTGGAAAATTCTCCCACATGCAGCGTATTCTCCAGACCTTGCCCCTTCTAAATATCACCTTTTTCGGGCGCTACAACATCACCTGGTGGATACCCAGTTCCAATCTCCTGAAAAAGTCCGGCAGAGCATTGATGACTTTATCCAGTCGAAACCATCTTTTTTTCCGAGCTGGAATCCGACAATTGCCCCATAGATGGGAGAAATGCATGCAAAGTGACGGCGATTATTTTCAAGATTAGATCTGTATTCATTTTTTTATAAATAAACGTCAAAATTGTCAAAAGAAGGCCGAGAATTAAGTCATACACCTAATAATACTGCAACAATCACGGTGTAATATCAATCCAACTTGTATGAAAAAACAAGTTGATGGTATAAAGGTACTGTCAGTGACTTTATTTAATAACATAGGGAACTCAAAACCGCGAGAATGGTTATTAACCCCTCAAGTACGGGACCCTTTTCCTCCACTAACTTTCAATAGACCAAAGATGTTAAAAATTAGACATAATTGAAGCCAAGAGACTGGTCTTGACAACAGTGTTTATACGAACTCATAAAGTTCTGTTTTTTGAAATATTGAACTTTAAAAAGAGACGTGTATTAACGCGTGGGTTTAGATGTGGTATGGATCCTGAGCTTGAGAGATTAAGCATTTTGGAACTGTAGTAGAATATAGCAGGAGTTGGACCGGAACAAATATGTGCTACTCGCAAAAAAACTTAGCACTGTGCGAAACCAAATTAATCAGTTGTTTAATTTCATATTAATTGTTATTTTCAGTTAGTATTGGTCGTTGAGAAGACATTAATGCGTCCTTCTCTAAATATCACAATAAAAAAGATAATCACCTAGAAGTAGGTTCTACGTTGATGCTCTTTGGTCTTGGAGGCAGTATAGGTTTTACACTATTACCATTTGATGAAGTATCTTCTGAACTCGAATCCTCCTGATTGCCAACTTGACTTAGATTAACTGTGGGAATGGCAAAAAATGCATATTGTGATGAATTTCAACAATGAAATATCTATAAATGCAAGAAAAACAAGGAGTACGAAGTTTACCACTTGAGTAAGAACTTTGCATGCCACGTCTCCTCAATACCATTGTTAGATTATTGGTCGGATTCGAATGATGCTTTGTTTGATAATTAATCTTATTCTGAGAGCTGATTGTGGGCCTCATCAAACCAGTTATGCGGTTACTCTGAGCTTGGTTTGACCAATGTCTTCCACCTGACGTCATGCCGGCATCCGATTCAGAATCACTTTGCTATTACAACAAAGATAACTGTTAATTCTTTTTATGTTTCCAAGACAAGCAATTTCGGAAATGAACTTACTTGATTTAAAACTCCAACACTGCTACTTCGCGTCATATGATTTGAATGTATTTTACTTGATCCATATCGAGAAGGCATTGATCCAGAAGTACCACTTCCAGAAGAATTTTTTAACTGACTCGAATTCTTAATTGATGTTTTACCTGAAACTGTAATTTTTCTCCATTAATGTTTCGATAATAAGGTAGATAATTGATTCTTAAGTTTGTAATCATAGAATCATGGTAATGACAGAAAGAGATATTTATAATAATTTATGAAAGAAAAAGGTGCCAAAGAAATGAGAAACAAACTGATACCTCGTATCGGAGCATGCAGTAACCTGTTGGACGGGTTGGCAGACAAATCACTCAAGGAACAGGCCCGTCTCATACCACTGCTCTCTTCGCCATCGTCGTTGTTGATATTAGTTGAAGTATCACATCTTGCTCCCATAACTGTCGACAACACGCAAGGCACATGCTACTACTCTTTACACTTTAGAACTAGAAGTGTTAGTAAAAGAAACCTGGGAATGATTTTTGACTAGGATTGAAAGAACTGAACGGGTCCAAATTTCTATGAAGGAACTTGCGTTTTTTCGTCTTTCAAGAAAACTTCCGGTCATGTTCTTTCATTTCAATAGCGAGAAAAATTGTGTAAATTCACACTCATAAACATGAGGATCAAGATGAATAATAATAAATATGCTCATGCTGTATGAGAATAAAAAGCCAATCCAATAGTGTGTACGAATTCTTCCAACAATTTCTCGTTGTGCAATAATTTTCCTGCGTCTCACTGCAGCCATATATGAGAATAATCTTCATTTCTTATGAATACTCAATTGCTCATCTAGTACTAAGCCACGTGCAATTTTGTACAAACGATACTTTACAACATCAAAATGTTGAAAATTAAAGTATTTCAGACATCGATATTATTTGGTTGTAATTAATACCTGTGGCAAAATGATGCTTAGGTTGTAGAATACTATAACTTAGAGGTAGCAGTGCGTTAGTGCACTTCAATTGGCATCTTGATGCCGGTGGCCAGACTCTTTTAGGTGAATTAGTGCAACTTGAGCCTGTAGTCGATGAGCCTGATTCCAACATTGACTTATCTATTGCACAATCACTGTCTTCACCCCCAGAACTACGTCGATTTTCTTGCTTCAAAATGAAGCCTGCGCCTCTCTCATTTTCCATTCTAGTGGAATACTCATGTTCCTTTGACTGAATATGCCATGACTTTTTGTTATTCGAAAAATACTGTTCTCGACGTACTAAACTTTCAAATTCTTTCGATAAAAGTTTGACTGTTCCTTCAATAGCACGCGTAATCCTTATATCCATATTTTTATTAAGATCTCTATTTTTTTTTTCAGTATCACCATTTGAATCCGGAGTTTGTGAATCTGATGTAGACACATCAGCTGAGGAGGTCCCATTTGCTTCCAAGGAATCATAATTTTCGGTATCTTTTGTGGGCACTTGGCTTTCAAATCGTTCAAATTGTCGTTCCATTCTATCAATGATAAGTTGATCCGAACTGTTAATCTTCGTCGAAACAAAGCCAATATTCGTAACGTGCGTAGAAGCTTGAATCTCTTGAAAGGTTTTTTGTAAATCTTCTTTATTTCTCTTCACCGCATCTTTTGGAGCTTCTATATCATCATTATTTTGCGTGAAATCTAACTTAGTCAATGGCTTTGAGTAGCCATCAATGTTATATCTTGTCCAAGTGGGCCTTGTGCGATTTTTCAAACTTTGGGCTCTTGACAAAGTTCGCGTGGGTTTCGGTGGTTTATGAGGTACAAAATTATCAAGTATTAAAGTAGATTGCGGTGCTTTAGGAATTCGAAGGCTATGACTCCGTCCAATTTCTAATCTGGAGTTTCTTGTGATTGTATCATATTCATTTGTGTTATCAACATTAAATTCATAATAGATACACGTTTGATTAGGCCTAAAATTTTCCTCAGTATAATTAATGGGAGATTTTACAGTGTTCAATCTTGTATCCTGAAGTGATTTTGATCTAAAAACTGAACGATTTGAGACTGGCATTTGTGAATTCTGATTTCCAGCTTCTTCACTAGTTTCAGTTCGATACTTGGGATTTGCGTTATATGTTTCCGAATTTTGTCGTTTCCTTTTATAATGAGAATCGAATAGCATCTCAAGTGGTGCTGACTTAACGAGCGAATCAGAATCCTCTGATAATACACTTTCAGTACTTCTGTGATCCTCATTCTCGTGTAATGGAAACGTTTGATAATCCTCGTCTGTCAGAATACTCTCTTGGCTTCGTGCACCATGCATTTTTTTACGTGAAAGGAAAAAACTAGCACTTGAATGCCTGCCATTTTCATATTGAATACAATCAAATTCTTCAGTAGATGCATCAGATAAAATGCTCTCTTGAGATTCAGTCAATTTCTTTTTCATCAAATTTCGACAATTTTGGGTATCAACTTGAGAATCCGTATTCACATTTATTTGATATTCACTGATACATCTTCTAGGAGGTTTTGTATATTCACTTTCTAATGAATCATCACTAAAATTACCGTCATCATTCTCAGCACTGGATATTTGCTCGTTCATGGCTGGTAAACTTTCGAATGACTTGGTAATTTTTTCAAAATTTTCAGAATCATCGTTGAGACCAATAAAGTAGCTACAAGATCTTCGTTGTTGAGAAAATTTTGCGAAACTTTTTGCACTGTTTGTACTCTTTTTCTTCAATATCTTCAATTCCTCACAAACTGGTGAGTCCGGGAGTGATTGATTAGGTTTATTCAAAGATAATTGATACTTTTCGGTTTTCTTCAGTGTCAGCGTGAGTGGACGATTTCGATTTGTACATATCTGTTCATTTATACTTGACATAGTTTGGCTTTTTGGGATGATCTTTTGAATTGGCTCATGAATTTTATAGGGAGTCGAATTTATATTGTTAGTATATAGTTCAGGTTTTAGTTGAATACTTTGATTCTGCAGTTGTGGTTTAATGGGATTAGTCGGTATTGCATAACGAAGTGCATGGCCTGACGAAAGGTTACCTGTTCCGATCCGGTTCTGACGATGATGGCGATGTGGTATGTGATTACTTAGATCCGAAATACTTTGACTTGATTTTAATGATGACTTGTAGCCGACCTATTCATGATAGAACAATAATGATGTATTCATTTAAATTTATTTCCAAAAATGAATCAAAGTTTTCAAGGATTATTTTTCTATTCAAGTGCCTGTGATGGTAACAAATCTAAACAACAGGCAGAGGTGGATTAATAAACAATCTTTCAATTACAATCAATGGAGAATTTTCAAATCATGCTAGTTTGTTCCACAAAAGGACAAACAATTTATAACATATGGAAGTTCAATGAGCATTTAATTATGTAGCAAAAATGGAGTTTCAGTGAGCTCCATAAAGAATCTATATTTTTCAATTAAACCCTTAATGTGCTATAAAATGTCCTATGTCTTTCTATTCAGTGCAGAATCGGTCACCTCATGTTGATTTCAAGACCAGTAAAATTGAAAGAAGCTTATGTTAAGAAATTAAGATAATAAATTTACGTACACTTTGTAATTTCTTTCGAGTCTCTTCAATGCGTCTCTTGAGTTCTTCGCGATTTTTCGTTACATTGGCGTCCTTCTTTGGATTGTTTGGAATATTTATCTTCGGTGTGTTGCGGCTATGAATGCCATCTCCACCACTATTCCTGAAAAGAAGAGGGAATTTTTTTTTTAAACAACTGATCTCCATTGGGTTCATTGAAAATGATCAGTAATTCATTCTTTTTTTACCTTCCATGAAATTGTGCACTAATACTAGTATTCTTCCGATTTGTAGGTTCATCAGCTCCACTAAGCGACTCAAAAGCATTCTTCAAATACTTTTCGCGATGGCTCTGATTAGCAAGTTGATCGAAACCTTCTGAACTAGTTTCGGACAACAGTGAAAGTGGATTACGTTCTGCACTAGGAGTTGAAACGCCGCCCTCGGAGTCTGAATCATCTTGACTTCCTGAAGCCAATTCATTACGTCCAGTTTCAGTTGTCCGTATTTTCTTATTCCGCCTTTGAGATCGTCGAAGCTCTTCTACATCCATGGCATTGACTTTAAACTGGTTTGAAACAATATCTTCTGTCGGTGGATAATACATCAGATGATGATGTGATTTTTCGGAACTCGTCGTTCCATTTTCACCCTCGGAATAATCTTCTACATCACCATCGTGTTCTGTACTCTCATGGTCCTAGTTTCATCATAGAGAACGGATTTCATTTAGAATGAGCAATTCTTCATTGAATAATTTTTTAGGGATTGGATTTTGTGAATAGTAGATTTTTTTTTAATAAGATGATGAAACAGTTATAAAATTGTAAAGAATAACCTAATGATTTTCATTTAATAGTGGCATAATTTTTTTAAAAAAACTAACGATTTCTGAAAATACATAACGATGAGGAGTCGATATTGAAATGGCCCAGAATGGTGATTCTACTCGGAGAAAATAAAATAGTAAAGATTGCTATGTCGGAATCCGAACACACACGTACGCCACTCGCCATAGCGCGGCCATAGATCCCATGTAGGAAATGCCAGTGTTCGAAAAAAGGGCCAAGTCTGGCGCAAGCCTGGGCTTGCCAAATCTGGATGCCCAAGCTTGAACTGAGGTTCGGCCATTCCTGGAGACCAGGACTTGAGTCTCGGGGAAAGGGCGCGTAACCAAGCCCCAGCCAGCGGTGGCCCGGAGTTCGGTCATTGGGATCCAGCCCTTGGGGTATGGGTTAAGTCGGAAGGCTGAGATGATGAGAATGGAATCATAAGGGTAAAATCTGAAGAGTAAAATTGTAAGGATTAAATTGCAATACTGGAAAGTGGCGAAAAAATCATAAGTAAAATTTTGAGGGTATAATCGTAAAAATAAAATGGTGGCATTGTAGGTATTGAAGTCACATGCTATTCGCTAACTATCATGAAAAAAAAAAGAATCGTCATTCAAAATTACTTATCATTGTTATGATTATGATTATTATGAATAGTTATTATTATTATTGTTATTCATTATCGAATCATTAGGTGTCTTAATTTTTACAGATTTTTTCTTCGAGCTTAAAATTATATTTAAAATAGAAATATATTCGCGGTCTTTTCTGGTTTCGAAAGGATCGGACAAAAGGTTTCAGAGCACGGAACGACAAGTCTATGTAAGTTACATAACCTTTCAGAATAGCAGAGTTGGCAACTGATCAACAGCACATTCGGCACTGCATTTTATACGAATTCCAAAAAGGAAAAAATGCTTCCGAAGCACGGGAATTAATATGTAGTGTTCTTGGTGCCGACGTTATATCTTATGAAACGTGTAATTATTGGTACAAACGTTTTAGAAGTGGTGATTTCGATCTGAGTGACCAGCTGCGTCCTGGACAGCCTCGAAAGTTTACAGATGCGGAATTGCAAGCTCTACTGGATGAAGACTCAACGCAAATGCAACAAGAGCTTGCAGCTCAGTTAGGAGTCACCCGAACAGCTATTTCTAGGCGTTTGCGCCAAATGGGAAAAATCCAAAAACTTGGAAGGTGGGTCCCACATGTGTTGACCGAACACAGCCTAGCTCAACGTATGAACACGTGCCTTTCACTGCTTGCCCGGCAACAAAAAAAGGACTTCTTATGGAGAATTGTAACGGGTGATGAAAAGTATATTTTTACGAGAATCCCAAACGTAAAAAGTCGTAGTTAGATCCTGGACAATCCATTACATCGACGCCGAAACAGAACATCCACTTAACGAAGATTCTCCTGTGTATCTGGTGGGACATGAAGGGTGTGCTTTATTATAAACTCCTGGAAACAGGTCAGACGGTGATTGCGGAATGCTACAGCCGATAATTGAACAAACTGAGCGAAGAACTTGATCGGGAAAGGCCATTTACTGGGCAAAGAAGCAGGCAAGTCATACTGCTGTATGACAATGCTCGACCTCACGTTGCTCGCGCGACTCAGAAGACACTCTTAAACTTCTGTGATGGGAAGTTCATCCGCACGAGGCATATTCACCAGACTTGGCCACATCCGACTATCACTTGTTCCGGTCCATGCAACACGCCTTAGTGGATAAACAGTTTAAAATGCTGGACGATGTGCGTAAAATCGTCGCTGACTTTATTGCCTCGAAGCCTGCAAGTTTCTTTCGCGACGGCATTCGAATGTTACCTGAGAGACGGCGCAAGGTCATAGAAAACGATGGACAATATTTCCAAGATTGAGTTCGTTGTTCTTTATTTTTTTATCTCTCTCTCTATATAATAAAACAAAGGAAATTTAAAAATTCAGGAGACGACCCCATCCCTGGAGAGTCTCAAGGGTCTCCAGGGTCATAGGGGCCCTAAGGGGTGCTAAGGGTCATAAGGGTCATAGAGGGGCTAAGAGTTATGAGGGCCACGAGAGTCAGAGATGTACGAAGGGTCTTAAGGGTCACGAAGGTCATAGAGGTGCTAAGCGTCATAAGGGTCATAGAGGAGCTAAGAGTCATAAGAATCACAAGGATCATAGAGGTGCTAAGGGACATAAGGATCACGAGGGTCAGAGAAGTGCTAAGCGTCATAGAGGTGTTAAGGGTCATAAGGGGCATAGAGGAGCTAAGGGTCATAAGGGTCACGAGGGTCTTGAAGGTCACGAGGGTCATAGGGGTTTTAAATGTCATAGAGGCGCTAAGGATCACGAGAGTCATAGGATTGCTAAGGGTCACAAGGGTCATAGGAGCGCTGAGGGTCACGAGGGTCATAGGGGTGCTAAGGGTCACGAGGGTCATAGGGGTGGTAAGGGTCATGGGAGTTCTAACGGGGCTGCCCATATATGGGTGGATGCCTATATATGGGGGGTGCCCATATTTTGGGGGGTGCCCATATATGGGGCGGTGCCCATATATGGGGGAAGGGGAATTCTACGTATGTGGTCTCTTATGGTAAAGTATGTATAGAGCTATCGGAAAAACTCTCCCGGTCACACCCACTCGGTCACACCGAGAGGGGGAAGCGAGCGAAGCGAGCGGGGGGGGGGCGAAGCCCCCCCTCGGGGTTGGCGAGCGGAGCGATCAGGGGGCGTAGCCCCCTAGTATTAAATAAATTTATTGAAAAATCTGTAAAAATTAAGTCACACACCTAATAATTTACCTAGTAAACTAGAATTAAATCACTTAATATCTCTATCAACTGAATAATAAAACGTTTAATTTGAGTTTTGAGGCTTTCGCGGCCAATATTATTATTCATTATGATGGCTTCCGGATGGATGCCGCGTCTAGGTTCAGCTTTTTGCCGACGTTTCGCAAACATTTCAGTCTGCATCATCAGGGCTAGGTTGCTCCGATACTGAAGCTCCCTGTTGTAAGGAAGTCCTTATATCTCCCCTGACCCCTGGAGGGGGTAGGTAGAGTGGTGGGGGGTATCCCAGCCAATCAAGATGTTTTTAATTGATCAGCTGGTCAATTAAAAAACCCGGAGGACGGTGTGCCAAATTGGATTGGTTTGGTATCCTCGATCCCTATTGACATTGTTCGGATCTTTTTGGATCTGGAGACCTTCGCGATGTTTTCTGACGAAATATCCTTGTGAGCTGGCAAGCATTTCTGTTTTGTCATATTGGATAGTGTCCAGTGTCCATCCAATGTTCAGCCAGTGCAGATTGCGAGATATGGCCATTTTTTACACACCGTTGATGTTCTTTGATCCGTGTACTGATCCTCCTCCCGGTTTCATCAATGTACACTTTTCACAAGAGCAAGGGATTTTGCACACCCCTGGGAGACTAAGTGGTGGTCTCCGATCCTTAGTACTGGAGAGCATTTATCCAATTTTCGTTGGTGGTTTGAAAATTGTCGTGATGTCATGCTTCTGTAGTACCTTGCTAATGCGATCGGTCGTACCTTGAAGATACGGGAGAACAACCGTTTTCTGATGTTCTAGTTTATCAGGTTCACTCTCAGCTGAGTACTTGTTTTTCAGCCTGTGCAAAATACGGTGGACTTGTTTGCTCTGGTATCCATTATTATTCAATACTTTATCCAGGTGTTGAACTCCATAGTGAATTTTATGCTCGGATATTGTGAGTTGATAAAATTCAGGAACTGAGGCAACGTGTCTGCTCCATGTTTCCAGAAGACGAAAGTGTAGTCGACATACCTGAATCAAACAGAGGAGCTGATTTAAGAACTTTGTTTTCGAAATCTTCCATAAAAATGTTTGCTATGATGAGAGAAATGGGTGAACCCATTGCTGCTCCGAATGTTTCTTCATAGAACTCCCCTTGGAATTGGAAATAAGTGGAAACATTGAAGAACAATGGATACCAGAGCAAACAAGTCCACCGTGTTTTCCACAGGCTGAAAAACAAGCACTCAGCTGAGAGTGAACCTGCTGATAAAGTAGACCATCAGAAAGGGGTTGTTCTCCTGTATCTTCAAGGTACGCCCGATCGCATTAGCAAGGTACTACAGAAGCATGACATCAGGACTATTTTCAAACCACCAACGAAAATTGGACAAATGCTCCCTCCCCAATACTGATGATCGGAAACCACCACTTAGTCTTCCAGGGGTGTACAAAATCCCTTGCTCTCCTGGAAAAGTGTACATTGGTGAAACTGGGAGGAGGATCAGTACACGGATCAAAGAACATCAACGGTGTGCAAAAAATGGCCATATCTCGCAATCTGCCCTGGCTGAACATTGAATGGACACTGGACACTCTATCCAATATGACAAGACAGAAATGCTTGCCAGCTCACAAGGATATTTCGTCAGAAAACATCGCGAAGGTCTCGAGATCCAAAAACATCCGAACAATCTCAATAGGGATCGAGGATACCAAACCAATCCAATTTGGCACACCGTCCTCCCGGTTTTTTAATTGACCAGCTGATCAATTAAAAACATCTTGATTGGCTGGGATACCCCCCACCACTCTACCTACCCCCTCCAGGGGTCAGGGGGATATAAGGACTTCCTTACAACGGGAAGCTTCAGTATCGGAGCCACCTAGCCCTGATGATGCAGACTGAAATGTTTGCGAAACGTTGGCAAAAAGCTGAATCTAGACGCGGCATCCATCCAGAAGCCATCATAATGAATAATAAAACGTTCAAGTCGAAAAAAACCGAGGTAGTATTAATATGGACGATTTGAAGTAGAGATTTTGCCAATTGCGCGGTAGGCTAGTTAGGGTAGAATATTAATTGCGTAGTTAGGGCG